TTAAACTAAAAGTATATATTATAATACAATATATATTATATATAATGTATATAATAATCATATATATAATTAATATTATAATAAAATAATATTATATACGATATATAATAATAATACAATATACAATACAATTATAGTAAACCATATAACACATTCTTGTTAGAGCAATGTAAAGAGCAAATAAAGGAATAACAAAATTTTAAGAAATTAAAAAAAAAAGAACATAAAAGAACAAAATAAAAATAAGAAATTGAGGAACAAAAGATGAAACGAAAGCTTGCATGCCAAGTCATTGATAGATTTAGATAGATGAACTTTCAATGTTAGTGAAAGATTCAGTAAAAAAAAATAAGCTTTCCAAATGAAAATTGTTCAATCGAAATTGCATAGAAAAACAGGGGTTACGTATTTGCTGGACGTGTCAGTAAAGATGAAATTTATCACTGTTTTCTTGCTATTAATAACTGTTCCATTAACATTTGCGCTTCCTTAATTAGTTCACATAATCTATTGATAGTTCCACTGTTTCTACTGTGTAAAATGGGTTCTCGTACTCCCCTGAGGAATCATAAAATGAGGAATTTAGGTTACGTCCAGTTAATGATGTAGCAAGTAATTGCTACAACAAGAATAGGCAATGATAATAAGGATGTGATAAATTGAATAGAAAGCTTGGATGAAAGTTTCATTGCATTGAAATGATAGATAGATTGGCTTATCTGTTTGCACTGCATACCAAGGATTAGAATTGAGGAACGTGATAATTGCAGAATAACGATAGTGACAAAAATTGTGAATGTAAGATTATCAATGTGATAATAGTGAAATTATAAATGTAACAATGGCAAAGTTGTAAATATAATATAACAGTAAAATTTTACACGTAAAAGTTACAACATTTTAAATATAAAAGTGTGAAATTGTAGATGTAATAATTGTGAAATTATAAATGTAATAATTGTGAAATTGTAAATGTAACAATTGTAAAATTGTAAACGTAATAATCGCAAAATTGAAAATGTAATAATTGTAAAAATCTCGTTAACCATATGTCAAACCTTTTTTTAAACTAGTAACAAACATGACATAATATACATTTTCAATTTCGGTCCCATGATTAATTTTCATGTATCTCTATTAAAGGATCCTAAATTTCATTACATTCATAACTTTTCTACGTTTTTATCCTTCATAAGAGAGATTTTCTATGTAAAATCGAAATCCGTAGCAACGTGTACAATTAATTGATTAACATGACTTTTCTTCGCCCGCAGCAATCCGGACGAAATGTCATTTATTCGATTTTCGATACTTTCCTTATCTTAGGATTTCCGTACATTTCAGTCGGATTTTATTAGTTCGATCGTGCTCGTGAGTTCGATTTGTCGGAACGGGTCTAAATATTTTTGGACGTGTGCCAAATTAATTTTCAGGGACGAGTAGTAAATTGAATTCGGGGGGCACGAACCGGCTTCGGTGCGTAATCCTACAATACTGCATCGGTTTTTACTCTCGACTATAGGCCCCGACCATCTGTTTCGCACCTGCCTCGACCCAAATCGATGAGGAACACGATCACGCGGAATTGTTTTGTCTTCTATTTTCTTCCTCGGTCACTTTCCGTTGCGAACTTTTCATTCGCGTGCCCGCGGCTTGTATTTCTCTCTTACAATGCCAACTGCGAACCGAATGCATCCGATTCCGTTCGCGAATAAAGGATCCCTGCACAAGGTGCGCAGATGTCGCAAGTTGCAAAATTTAGCCACGTTAAATTCGCATAAAATGAAACTTATTTACGCATCTTGCACTCCCGGTTGCACGTATGCAGGTTGAGAATTGCAACAACGATCAGCGTTGACGTTGTTTAATTTTGTTTATTACGATTAGACAGTGCTGATTTTTTAAATGCAAGAAAACGTGTAAATGAACAAAGTATGATAGCATTTTTACTTTTTTTTTGGCACCTAAAACTTGGAAGATTTTCTTCGATTCGAATTTTTGTCAAATAACGTATTATATCCGCAATTTAATTGTGATACATTCCTGCAACAATAATTAACTCGTAGATAGTTTGAAAAGCTAAATAATTTTCTTCGTTTTTGAGCAACTTTTGAGAGAACACAATTTTATTCGACTTTCTTCGGAGTTTTCGCGTTTCCCTTGATGTTTGAGAAACAAAATGGCGGATTTCTTAATGGCAAACATTGAGAAATTGTATCTAAATGAACGATTAAACGAATCGCACAAATAAATTTGTTGACGCAGAAAATGTTCGATTTATATAAAAATCTGCAGCGATAAGTAGACTAATAATTTTATGCATTTATAATAAAAATGAATTCAACAATGTTTGTTGCACTATTTTCGAGTTATCGAAATTACCAAGAGACTGTTAAAATGTTAGTGCACTGCTGCTGACTTACTAAAATTATAAAAAAGAAAAATTAACGACGTCATTGCACTATTTTCGAATTACTTAAATTATTTAAAGAATTTTACAATCTTAATGCACTATTGTCGACTCACTGAAACATTATTACGACTCTTACAACATTATTACACCATTTTCGACTCACTGAAATTCTCTCTCTCTTAAAGAGAAAGTGATTCATATTTTACTCATTTCCTGGGACAATTTCGATTTTGCAGAAAAATCCGCGTTCGAGCGTTGAGAATCGTTGGACACCGATTTCGGTTACACCCGGTAGACGAATCCGTTGATTGCAGGTTAAATGTCAGCGTGATCTCGCATCGAAACGTGTACTTCGTCGGTTAATCGGGCGCTATCTGCGCTATCGATCCCCAAAAAAAAGAGAACCTCCGCAGCGCATAATTTCCGGCAGTCAGTAAGAAACGCGGTGCCGCCATTTTGGTCGCCGCAAACCGGCACAATTCACTTTCGCTCGAAAACGCTGGCGAACGAAACGCGGGCGAACACATAATTCGATAAAATCTACACGCTCAAAGCACCGAGTTCCATTTGTAGAATGCAATTTGTAGAATGCAATTTGTACAAGATCGTATCGGGCGCCGCCAGAGAACGCAACAACAGATACGTTTAATCCGCCGATATTTATTATCCGGAAGTCTTATCACACGCGTCTTTCGATCGTTCCGATTATTCCGATCGAACGGAATTTTTATTTAATTACGAATTCTGCCTTCTCGCGGCGCGATTCTACCGATTCCAATTGAAATTATGCTCGCCGCTATCTCGCGGATCGCATTATCGTCGTGAAAATTCGACGACGAACGAGACAACGCTGTTAATGTAATTGTAATTGGGATCGATAATTTGTTGTTACGATGTCATTGCGTTCGAGTGAATAAATTATATTTGTAACGAAAACTGTTTCAGCAAAAACGACGTTTACAGAGAAAGAATTGCTTTCGAGAAGGCAATATAATTGAACAAATGGGTCCAGGCGTAGTTTTTTAGGATATTTCACAAATTCTATTCGCTGTTGACGGACACGGGTAGACATTTATTAACAAATCCTACGTAGACGATTTTTTAACTCTTCCTTTAATTTTCGAAATGCTAAGCTTCGATAAGAAAATGTTAGTGCATTCTTTACGAACGCGTTAAGATAATTTTATTATTATTCATTTTATATTAGTATTCATTTTTTTTATATTACTATGCAATTGTTTAAAATATACGTATGGTGTTTCGTTAATTTGAGACGAATAACGACGAGTCGACTTTGAATTCTTTAAGAAAATTAATTTAGCATAATTTTGTGTACGTCTTCTACGAATGTGCAAACTCAATTTTTCTATTGCGTTAGGATTATTTGAAATTCTTGAAATTTATTATTTTAATTTTAATTAATATTATTTTAATTAATATTGTTTTAATTATTATTTATATTCTTTAAAATTCTTCAAAAATTGAAACTAAATTTGCCACATTGTACACACAAACATCAATGTTGTTACTACGTGCGATTATTAAAAATATTATCACGATTTTACTATTATTTTAAAGCTTTCGTTGTCTTCCCTATTTTCATTATAAAAAATGAATAAATAATAGTTTCGCAGCTGCTTGACAAATGTCAATTTTATCGTTGCATAGCATCGTTCAAACTCCTTTTCCCGATATTGAATTCAGTTAAGATAAATTTTATCGTTTCCTTTGAATCCCTTAATGCGAACAGATTGAAACTAATTCGCCGCATTGTTCGCATCCGCTGTAACAGTATTAGAGCCGAGGATTTGTCATTACGCGGCATTGTTCGAGGCGTTCATTTTCATGGCGTTCGGTTACATCCAAAGACGGGATTTCGATGTGTTTCCTTTTATCTGCGAAGTTAAGGCGTGAAGTGTGAGAATCGACTTCCACGTGGTTTTTAGACGCGGCGTGTAAACAATGACGCCGAGTTAGAGAGGAAGAATCCTGTTCCATCAATCATGTTCCCACTTTCTTTATCATCGCTCCGATCGCGCGGTTACCAAGCGGAAAAGAATTGCACCGCCGCCTCCACCTTGTATCATCGCCATTGTTCCCTAATATTGTTATTCCCGACAACGTCGTGCACTTTGTTATTTAAGTTCAAGGTTCAACAATGATTGGCAAATCGCGCGAACTTTCATTTCTCAATGAACAATCGAACAAATTGGCGAGCTTCGTCGAATAAATCGTTCTGCAGCGTATACGACGCCATGTTTGAACAATATATTGATTTTTATGCAAAATAGAAATTGTCTGCAGCAATTGCGAGATGCAGAAACTAAATGTCAAGGTCGTTCTTCCTTCAGTCACTATAATAGATCGAAAATGATACCATCGACATTTACAAATCCTTTCAATCTTTCTGCTGTTTTAAATTGCGTCCACCAAATTTTGCCATAAATGCATAAAATCCGTAGTCTACTGATCACTATAATCGATTGAAAAAATTACTATAATTATCGAGAAGCTTGCGGTTAACAATTAATAAAAATATTTATTATAATATAATAATAATATAATATATAATAATAATATAATATATAATAATAATATAATATATAATAATAATATAATATATATAATATTTATTATATAATAATTAATAAAAAAATTACTAACGGTTAAACAAAAAAAAAACGTTGATCACTCTGTTTAATTGTCCTCGAGAAATTTTGTCCACCACAAGATGGAAAATATAATTCCGACATTATCTTGGAATCCGAAAGAATTAATAATTAAACGTAACCGCGCGAGCGCTGCGCGAACTATGATCAGGAAACACGACTCTTTTTAGCCTATTAGAGGGTCAAGAACCCCGGCTGTCGTGTGAAAGACTAATGGGTTCTAACATGCGACCAAAATTTTCCGCCATCTTTAATAGTCTCGGCGCAAAACGGTCAGTTATTTTTCTCGCTGAATTACTGATTTACAAATAGATGGGGGCCCCGTTTCGTTATGCCGGCAATCTGTTAAATTGTGGTCGAAACGAAAATATCGCTTTATCAGCGTTAATGTAGAACGAATTGCAGGAATTTAACGAATTCGACGGCTGCGATTCACGGACGCTTGAGATGGATTGAACGGAGAAGCAAGAATGAAGAAAACATAGAGGCAAAATATGGAGGAAATTATTGAATATCGATGGATAAAATATAATATATAATATAATATAGTAAAATGAGCAGAATTATACGAACGATAGGTTCGTGTGTACAGGGCGTCCCAAAAATGTCTCGCAATCCGCAAACGGAAGGTTCCTGAGGTCATTTGAATCAACTTTTTCCTTAGCGAAATTGCAATCCGCAGCTTTGTTTACGAGTTATTAACGAAAAACGGTGACCAATGAGAAGCGAGATCAGCTCGCGCGAGACGGCCGAGCCAATGAGCGGAACTGGGCTTCGCGCGCTCGTTAGCTGGGCCGCCTCGCGTCAGCCGAGCTCGTCTCTTATTGGTCAGTATTTTTCATTAATCACTCGTAAAGAAAGCCGCGGATTGCATTTTCGCTAAGGAAAAAGTTACTTCAAATGGCTTCAGGAACCGCCCATTTCCGGATTACGACACATTAAGACAGATTGTCACACAATCCTGATAAAAATCCAACAAAAATCAAACAATTGAAACAAACATCTATTTCTGAATCTCTATAAATTATTAAAACACAGAGCAAATCACTCAACGTTGGATAGATTAAGATAGATTACGCAACAGAGTCCTGCCCAAAATTGAACAATTTAACCAAAAATCTATCAACAGTTTCCCTCAAAGGATTAAGGCATGGAACAAAGAGTACAAATCGTCGGAAATTAGCTAGATTAAGGTAGATTGAGACAGATTCACATTCAATCTCACTAAAGTCTACCTAAAACCTGACAATCGAACGAAAGATGCATTTCAAAATTATCACAGACGATGAAAATATCAAACGAAGAGTTGAGATCGCCAGAAATCGGATAGATTAAGATAGATTAATAATCAATCGCAACAGAGTTCTGCCTAAAATCGAATAATTTAACCAAAAATCTATCAACAGTTTCCCTCAAAGGATTAAGGCGTGGAACAAAGAGTACAAATCGTCAGAAATTAGCTAGATTAAGATAGATTGAGAAAGATTCGCATTCAATCTCACTAAAGTCTACCTAAAACCTGACAATCGAACGAAAAATGAATTTCAAAATTATCGCAGACGATGAAAATATCAAACGAAGAGTTGAGATCGCCAGAAAGCGAATAGATTAAGATAGATTAATAATCAATCGCAACAGAGATCTGCCTAAAACCGGACAATTTATCCAAAAACCTATCAGCAGTTTCTCAGAGGATTAAAACATGAAACAAAGAGTACAAATTGTCAGCAATTAGCTAGATTAAGATAGATTGAGACAGATTCACATTCAATCTCACCAAAGTCTACCTAAAACCCGACAATCGAACGAAAGATGCATTTCAAAATTATTGCAAACGATGAAAACATCAAACGAAGAGTCGAGATCGCCAGAAATCGAATAAATTAAGATAGATTACCAACCAATCGCAACAGAGTTCTGTCGAAAACCGGACGATTTATCCAAAAAACCACACGACATGGCCGAAAGATTGAAACATGATACAAAGAGTACAAATCGCCAGAAATTAGCTAGATTAAGATAGATTAACGGGCAGCCTCGCACAGTAGCGACCAGCCCTTCGACCAACACGACTTTTCCACCAACTATCAATTACCCATTTGACAGATTGGAACCCCGACTGATAGATCACCCGTGTCCAGGCATGTCCGGCAAATCTATCAGCTTGTCGTCCACCTTGGACGCTCGCGACAAACTCTTACGACAAATATTGACAGAGAGCGGGGGGGGGCTTATTCAATTAGCGGTTGTTTAATAAATCAAGCCAGATTACGAACCTTGATGAAGCAGTCATTAAAAGACAGATTGTGCCTCAGCGAATTCTGCCATCTGCGGGTGTCCTTGCGATAGTAGGGGAACCGGTCCGCGATGAACTTGTAGATCTCGGCCAAAGGCAGCATCTTGTCCCTGGACGACCAGATCGCCATCGCGGTCAGCGAAATGTACGAGTACGGCGGCTTCTGGTCGCCGTATGTGTCCCTCGACGGTCGTGGCATCTTTCGCACCTCTTCGTCACCACCACGATGACTGACGACTTCCGGTTTCGGCAGCTCAGGAGCTGGTCATCGCCGTTTCCTCGGAGCTTCCGGTCACATCGTCTCATCGCATCCTCCCCGAGCGATGGCTGGCCATCGGGCCGACGTCAGGGTGCCGACTTCAGTCACTTCGGACCACGCAGCGGCGTCTTCATCATCCCGACGTCTCGTCTCTTCTGGAAGCAAACGGTATTTGTCAGAGATCTCGGCGCGATTGCCACGCGTGATTCGAGGCGGACGTCTCGCAAAGTTTCGTCGCGTCTTTTTCTGCTGCGTTGGGAACTTCGTTTATTATTTGGGCATCCATTGCCGGATGAATTCTATTGTCCGAATAACAAAGGAACCTCGATTATCCGAACCGTCAGAGAGCGAAGTAAATTCGCCGCAGAAACTCGATCAACTGGATCGATCGCCGAATTTAACCTGAACCCCGATTATTCGAGAGGTAAATTAAATTGGAACCTCGATTATACAAAATTTTTAATCTGCAAACTAAACTAGGAGTTCGGTTATTCGGATCTTTCATCCGCACATTAAATTAGGTCTACGATCATTCGAATTCTTTAACTCCGAATTAAACTAGATTCTCGATTATTCGAACTCGTGAACTCCAAATTAAACTAGAACTTTAATGATTCGAATCTTTAATCTGTGCAAATTCAACTAGAAATTGGATCATTCGAATTCTTTAACTCGAAATTAAACTAGATCCTCGATCATTCGAATTGCTTAACTCTGTATTAAACTAGATTCTCGATTATCCGAATCTTTAATCTGCAAATTTAACTAGAACCTCGATTATTCGAACTCGTGAACTCCAAATTAAACTAGAAGTCGAATTATTCGGATCTTTAGTCTCCAATCAAAACTGGAACCTCGATTATTCGAACTCTTGAACTCCAAATTAAACTAGAAGCCGAATTATTCGGATCGTTAGTCTCCAATTAAAACTGGAACCTCGATTATTCGAACTCTTGAACTTCAAATTAAACTAGAAGCCGAATTATTTGGATCTTCAATTTCCAATTAAAACTAGAACCCCGGTTATTCGAATTCCTGAACTCCAAATTAAACTAGAAGCCGAATTATTCGGATCTTTAGTCTCCAATTAAAACTGGAACCTCGATTATTCGAACTCTTGAACTCCAAATTAAACTAGAAGCCGAATTATTTGGATCTTCAATTTCCAATTAAAACTAGAACCCCGGTTATTCGAATTCCTGAACTCCAAATTAAACTAGAAGCCGAATTATTCGGATCGTTAGTCTCCAATTAAAACTGGAACCTCGATTATTCGAACTCTTGAACTCCAAATTAAACTAGAAGCCGAATTATTTGGATCTTCAATTTCCAATTAAAACTAGAACCCCGGTTATTCGAATTCCTGAACTCCAAATTAAACTAGAAGCCGAATTATTCGGATCTTTAGTCTCCAATTAAAACTGGAACCTCGATTATTCGAACTCTTGAACTCCAAATTAAACTAGAAGCCGAATTATTTGGATCTTCAATTTCCAATTAAAACTAGAACCCCGGTTATTCGAATTCCTGAACTCCAAATTAAACTAGAAGCCGAATTATTCGGATCTTTAGTCTCCAATTAAAACTGGAACCTCGATTATTCGAACTCTTGAACTCCAAATTAAACTAGAAGCCGAATTATTTGGATCTTCAATTTCCAATTAAAACTAGAACCCCGGTTATTCGAATTCCTGAACTCCAAATTAAACTAGAAGCCGAATTATTCGGATCTTTAGTCTCCAATTAAAACTGGAACCTCGATTATTCGAACTCTTGAACTCCAAATTAAACTAGAAGCCGAATTATTTGGATCTTCAATTTCCAATTAAAACTAGAACCCCAGTTATTCGAACTCCTGAACTCCAAATTAAACTAGAACTTCAATTACTCGGATCTTTAATTTGCAAATTAAACTAGAACTTTGGTTATTCGAACATTCGATGTAATCGGCATTTTTGCATGAAACAATTGCATTCTCAAAATGTTTATTTATTATTAAAATATGGTCCACTAAGTACAGATAAATGTATCTTTAATCATTCTCTTAGAGAGTTCCCGGAAATGGTAAAATAAAAAATCATGTGAAGACTTTGTACAATATTGAAAATGGCCACCACGAAACGTACCACTACTAGATGATTATAATATTTATTGCTACAATCTTGAAATAAATGAAATGAATAACAATTTGACAGCACTCTATTTTAACGTACTCAAATGTCAACAAAATCTAAAACGGAAAGAATTAACATGGCATTCGTCCATTTAAAAGCACCGATAGAGCCGAATATTTTTCAACGAATAAATACGATTCCCCAAATTTTTATAAAATATCGTCTTTTATGCATGGACACATATTTTATACAACAATCTTTCTACAGCGCTACCGGAAACGGTAAAATAATCAAGCGAAGACTATGTACAACGTTGCAAATGGCACATCTGCTAAAAAATTGTGCCATTCGTAACATCGGCTTAAAAATCAACAAAATAACAAATCGAGGAAATAAAAACTCGACAGCGCCCGAACTTTGCAAGCTTGAATTTCAACAAAACGTCGAACGAATACCTTTCAATTTAAAAGCCTCGACGAAGTAAAAGCTTTTCTCGTCCGAGAAAATAACATTTTCGAAGATTGTATCAACAAATCGCATCGCCCGTTAACTACAAATCAACTACTGAATCCAAACAATTGTTTATCGACGGTTTCTCTCAACAGTCCGTTTATCGTAAAACGATGGGAAAGCATTTCGCGCTGGCAAAAGAACTGATAAAAGACGACGACGGAGTGAGACGTGCCGGAAAAATTGTGACGTTTATTATTATGTTACAGCGAGAGACTGACAAACGCGTAATAAAATGCGCGATGTCTGGTTGTTTCGCTGGTGCCATCATCATTTTATGGGAAACCTAGTACCGTGTTCCGATTAACGACGGGGGCCTCCGGTTTTTATAGCTTCACCAATTTCCGAGATCTTTATTACACGATCTGGGCCGAGTATAATGACCCTCCTTGAGGAGTCAGTCCTCAAATATCGGAACGATAATAACGAAAGCCAATTAAATAAATAAATACTTGGGGCCATCAAATTCAGTCTCTGTTTGTACAAAAACGCATTCTCGGCTTCGACGATTTCCTGCCGAGCGTTCGATCGACTCGCGAACTTGAAACTTTCAGCTACGTTTATTCGCATAATTTATTATTTTATTACTTATTATTTTTATTTATTTTATTCGCATCATTTATTATGCGCGTGATTAGAGCCATTATTTTTTGGAAGAAATTTGCAAGAGTTACGCGCGATTTTTCCAGTCTTTTCCGCTTTAACAAGCTGAAGGAAGCTATAGTCCTCGCCGGGACTCCCCCACTTACTAGCCGCCCCACTGCCGCAGTTTTCGGCCAATAGCGACCGCGGCAGTGGGGCGAAAGTGGGGGAACGTAAACACGAAGGTGCCTTCTTGTCGCGCGAAGACTATAACACGGAGGACTATAACCCTTTCAATATAAAAAGTACGTCGCAAACGGCACGAATAATGTTTTCAATAATCTCGAGCCGTTTCTGTCGCGATCCGAGAGAAATTCACCGAATCGATCCGCATCGACGGACGACGATCGCCACAGTTCGATCGGCAGAAACGCGCAAAAATTCACAAATGTAGGTCAAATGCGTCCGAACAAGCTGGTACAATGTTTCGTTAAAGACGCGTGAGTCGCTTCACAGCACGAAGACGAATTCCGAAATGTCGGGAATCGGGGGAAAGCGGTACTTTGTAAGTGTAATAATTATTGACACGCGGTGTGCTGCGACGAAAATTCACGTGAAACGGCGATGCACGGGAGAAAAATGCATGTGAAATCGTTCCCCGAGCATCGGTCGTTCGATGGAGACGGCTGTGTTGCCAGCGACTGACACGATAATTGGCGACTGACACACAGTCCGCGCGCATTATTTCTCACAAATCATGTTTCGGAATTGCACGTTTCAGGGACCGTAATTTCTATATCGGTGGTCGTGTAATATAATGTAACGAATCGGTCGAAAAGCCTTGCTCGCGCGCCGACCAAGAAAAACGACCACCGCGAGAGATTTACATTTGCGTATATACGGTTAATCGCGAGAGCGGTCGGCCATCTTGAGCATCGAGTATATTATATACATATTCGCTGTATAATTATTCAACCACGCACAAATACCTAAGCTAAAACTTATTTGACTAACCTACACTTTAGATAACAAATTGACTCTATTGAGAACAGATTCCAATTAGCGAACTAGCAATTCTCCTGCAACTTGGCTGAATATATACACATATAATAATATTATAAAATTATTATATATATATATATAATATAAAATTATTATATAAATTATATAAATATAAATTAATTAAATTATATTAAATATAAATTATTATATAAATTATATAAAATTATTATATTAAATGCGAGCACGATTTTTAAGAATGGGAGAAATCTTTGACGAATCGTAATATGCAAACAATTAAATTTGAGTCTATACATAATAACGATGCTGGAATAACTTAGTTGTTGTCTGAACTAACAATTATGCTCCTTAAACAGTTTTAGGTTAGGTTTTGCGAATATGGTTGAATAATTTTACAGCGAAATGCGAGCGCGATTTGAGAAAAAGTGAGAGAACTTGATCAATTTTGACATACAAGCAACTAAAGCTCATTTTGTACATAAATCGCAATAAAATAAACAAATTAGTATCTAAGATAGTAATTGTACATTGTTAGTAATTTTTAGCTTAGTTTTAAACGATAACGGAATGTCTTTATGACCAGCTGGAATCAGAGACACGTCCGCCATATTGGAAAAAGAGAAAAATCTCAGAAATTGATAGAAGTTATAGTTTAAGACGATTAATTTAGATTTTAACAATATGTTGGAGTATAATAAAATAAAAGTTATTAACGTAAATATCCATAATCTCCTCGCGATGCCAACAATAAAAGAATTAATAAAAGAATTTATTAAATATCGATGTTGATGCTAGGAATTCAAAAAGGTATAAAAATCGATGCTAAGAACTCAAAAAAATATAAAAATCGATGCTAGCAATTCAAAAAGATATAAAAATCAATGTTAGGAAGTGAACGGAAATATAAAAATCACAACACAGACAGTTTA